AATCTTCACTGGTGATGTTGATCTTCTCCAGGGCATCAACCAATTCCTTGTCAGCGCCAAACAATACGGGAGCACGGTCGACGTACACCTTAGTCCTCAGGTAACTGAGTACCACACGATCGTTGTTCACCCATAAGAACTTCTCTTGCCAGTTTTTCTTAGACTTCTTATCGTGGATAAGAGTAGGGACTCCCCATTGGCGAGAAAGGGTTCGAGTCCCCGACTGAGTGATTAAAAAAGTGCTTGAAAGCAGGAACGGTCGGCAAGCGGCCAAGGGCACGACAAAGGAGTTTAAAGCCAACTATCTTGTTTATAGCGATAGGGGTCAACTCCCTTACTGAAAACCCATATTCCCGAATGATCAAGTTGAAGAAATCGGTGGTAGGCAAGCTCAGACCCTCCTCAATAAAGGCGATTGGGATCCTGACCTTGCCCTCAGGAGGGCTGTACAAAGAGGCATCAGGCAAGGGAATTTACACGTCGTGTTCGGGAACGAACCCGAATCAGAACTCGAAAGACTCCCATTCCTCGGTGGTAAGATCTCTTCCTAAAGCGCGAGCAGTAGCCATGGAAAATACGAAGGAAAGGTTTAGAGGATTTTTTCTCAAGAACAAGTAGAAGGAAATGTGGAAAACGTCAGGAGGAACTTGGGTTTTAATGCCAACAATGAGGCAACGAACCGTCCTCATGATGAAACCGCCGAACAACGGCGATTTCGCCCTGCCAACTGCACAAGCTGTCAATAGCAGTTCGCCACGTATCTATGAGTAGACCAGAACAACTTTGCTACGCCACAAATGCAGAGGGCTACTGGTCTAAGGGACTTGTTAACGTTACCTAACAGCCACGTTAAATGTAACAGAGACGTTACTGCCTTGGCTAAGACCCGATCTTGGACTCAGAGAGCCAAAGCCGGAGCAACAGCTCATTTCTCGTCACAAGGGAAGAACATCCCATGTGATCTCCTCATTCACCCACAACCAATGAGAAAGCTACGAATTGCCCGAGTGACGACTAGAACTGACGTCACCTGGCGGTTAGTTAGCGTGAATAGCTCTCCCAGTAAAAGGAGGCCACGTATCACACTCACAAGAGACGGTCCCCACGATCCGTTAGTAACAGGTATAAAAGGATCTCTTTCATCTCAAGGGAGGGATCCATCTTCTTTCTCACGAAGATTAACCTAAGATTTCTCTCTCACCCTAGACTAACTTGATCGTCGGAGCGACGTCCTGGGAGAACACCTGGTCGTCCTCTAATGGTTCTTCTGTGATTGTGTTCCTAGGAAAACTCCCAAAGCAGTTACACCATCAAGCATCCAAAATATCTGCAAACATGTCACAACAGTTACCAAAAGGAAAGTCATAGTACTTCTCGAGGTGAGAACGTTGAGACAAAGAGCGAAGAAGACGGAGTCCGTATGAGGAAAACATGATTTTTATAAAATCATTTAATTATACCCCCGTTAGGCCAAAAGATAAAAGTCAAAACTAGCCAAAACAACCTAAAGGAAAGTTATAGTACTCTTGACACCATTACATAGATATAAAGAGGGTAAAGATAAGAGCTCGCACGCAGAAGATATGATTTGTCCAAAATCAATTTTGTGCGCGTGTCATGCACACCATGCACGGCGTGCACTCTAACCCCAGATTCGAGAAGACTGCAGGCAACATGGCCCAACGAGAGAGTGACACATGGTGACTCCTGGATGAAGCCATGAAGCGTAAGCATGAAGTGTACAAAGATTTACGCCGCACGCACTCAGAAAACTCTGCTATGAATAGGAAGGTCTGCAGAACCCATTTTGCACTCCTTCTAAGCAACCTTCTCTCTCTCAATCTTTGATCGAGCTAGTCCATCCCACGGCGATCTCCGAAGTCCCGAGTCCCGAGTCACGCTACTAGGGTGAGTTCACGACCCCTCTTTTACTATGTTCAAATGTTTTATTGGGGGGGGGGGGGATACATGTTATAAAACTATATCAAAATATTTTACAAAAATGTTAATATTTGTAATATATCAATAGTTTTAAAATACATTCAACATTAGGATAATATTATGCATGATAGTTACCTTGTTAAACTTTAAGAATGATATTATGCCTAGTCGTTGTAATGCCTAAAAGTATATTGGAAGATTATACCTAGTTGTTATGCTGACCAACTCCCTAAAATAACCTAGTTTATAGTCGTTAGGCTGGCCAAATTTAAGGATAAGCATTGTACCTAGTTGTTACTTTGCCATAATATCTTATCAATATCAAAAACACAATAACTATTTTATGTATGTATGTGTGTGTATGTGTGTGTGTGTGTATATATATATATATATATATATATATATATATATATATATATATATATATATATCAGAATAATTGTAAAATCCCAAAATTCATGACCAAAAATTTCATTTTTAATTACATAATTATAAAAACCAGTAGTCTGAAAACATCAGTAGTGTCATCCCATATCATAATTAAAAACCAATATCTCAAAACATGTCATAAGAAAACAATATCATAGTACAACTCCCAAAGATCTCATGTGCGGAAAATCATAGTGTGATGCGTTGCGATCATGCCGGCTCCTTTACTTTTGAAGTAGAAGTACCTGAAACCAAAACTAAAAACCGTAAGCGCGAAGCTTAGCGAGTTCCCCCATCATACCACATACCATACAATATATATTGCCTAGCATATCTGGGTGTTGGCCTACCCCTTCAGTCTCTTTCAACCGGTACTGCCTAGCATATCAGTGTGTTGGCCTACCCCTTCGGTCTCTTTCAACCGGTAACCGCCTAGCATATCAGGGTGTTGGCCTACCCCTTCGAGCTCTTTCAACCGGTAACTGCCTAGCATATATGGGTGTTGGTCTACCCATTCGGTCTCTTTCAACCGGTTACAGGGTCTATTTCACCCCTATCACTACCACATAATATCCTAGCATATAAGCACATTAATCACATACTGCCTAGCATATCTGGGTGTCGGCCTACCCCTTTGGTCTCTTTCGGCCAGTTACGGGGTCTACTTCACCCCCCACCACTACCACGTAATAATATAGCATACAAGCACATAAATCTCAATAGATAGTGGCATACCAGACAATTATCACAAAGACAATCATCTCTACTGTAAACAACTATTAGTGGGCCGACATTGGTGCCTTTGACCCACTTATACCGGGAAGGTAACTCACCTCGAATACTGGAAAGTAGTTGAACAGTCCCCAACTCCGAATATCAGCCTAACTCAATCCCCTACACATAAAAGATTTCCTTAATTGACCTTTCATAGTCATAATCCCAATAAGGGTCAGTTTTGGTCCAAGTCAAAGTCAAAGTCAAAGTCAACAGTCTGAGTTTACTCAACTCGTCGAGTTCCCATGAATCACAAAATCGTGAAATCGCGATCCAACTCGTCGAGTTATCTTCCAACTCGACAAGTTTCCATAACTCACAGAATCGTGATATCCCGGGTCGACTCGTCGAGTTTTCCCCCAACTCACCGAGTTCGTCCTTTACAACAAAATCGGGACACTTCTAATTAACTCGTCGAGTTCCCTTATAAACTCATCGAGTTCTTCAGTCTGTTAACCCTTCTTAATGCATTAAGCCATTATTCTTCAGATCTACACCCTATACTCCAGATCTAGACTTGAAATGCCTTTAGGAGGGTAAAGTTTCCAACTTTACCCATCAATACCCTTCGTAATGAGATTAAGCTCAAACCCTAACCCAAAAAGGCCAAAGTCTTCATCCAAAGACCACCAAAACTACAAAATAGACCATGAGGTTATAGATCTAGACTCTAGGGACTGAAAGATCACGTAAAGTCCCAACTTTCTCTACATGCATAGCCATTAGAAGCTCCAAAAGACCAAAATGATGGTCTAAAGGTTGCATGAGACTTCCATGGCCATAAAGTTAGCACCTTTATGCCATGAAAACCCCTCAAGACCTTAGATCTGAAGTGTTAACTCATTTGGGACGTCCAACTCCCAAGGACCATGATATTTAGGCCAAAACCAAGCAAAATAACCCAAAAAGGAGATCACTCAACTACAAGGCAAGGTTCAAACTTTATACCAGAAAAGTGTCGTGGATGAGGCAAGGATTCTGGATCTATAAGCTCCTTCTTGATTCTTCAAGCTTTTCCTTCTTCCAATGGCTTCAACACACACCAAAAACACCCAAAATGGCTTACAGTCATTCAAAGTAGCTTTAGGGTTTAGATATTTAGGGTTAGGACGGTGGAGGCTGGAAAATGAGGCCAATATGAAAGGTTTAAGGTGTTTAAATAGGGTGCAAAACCCTAAAATTAGGGTTTCATTTTACCCAACCAACTCGTCGAGTTGAGACCTCCCAACTTGTCGAGTTGGTCACCCAAAACGCGCGGTCCAGAACATCTCTACTCATAGAGTACAATTAAGTACATTGTTTATCCTTAAGTTTTCCTTTAATGTTGTTTTATTCCATAATTATTGTAACGCCTGGTTCCTGGTATGTACTTAACATCTCTACTCGACGGGCGTTTCTGCCGCCGACCGGTGGTGTGATAGTGGCAGCGATGACAAAAATGGTAATGGTAGAGCTGGCAGAGGTGGTGGCATTGGTGGTAGTGGTATGTGTGGGTAGCAGAGGTGTTAGTGATGATGATGGTGACATAGGTGGTGGTGGTGTTATGGTGAACGTTGTCATATAACACCAAGTATAACCCTTCATGAATCAAACTACATTAACAACAAAAAATGCAACTTGAATTGCTAAACACTCGTACCTGGCCAATAAATTCGTGTACACAAATTTATGGGAGCTTCTAGAATCAATCTTGTTGCCATTGATTCATCTTGTTTCTTAGAATTTGTTGTGAGTTGGAATCTTCAACATCCATGGTTATCTATTTCGTATCATACGCATCCATCATCTCATCATCTCAGATGCTTTAAGGAACTCTACTTCTAGGTTTCCATGATGGTGTGAAGGCGGAGCCACCAATGACACCGCCGCTAGCCTACCTTGCAATTTTCTTAAACACATCTCCAACTTCCTCGCACCCTACTATATATGCAACTACCACCGCAACATCCTCCATAACCCCTACCCTCATGTCCTTCACCACCAAGGAAAATGACATAAGTACCGACCTTAATTCTATCAACGTTGCACGGTCGAGTGAATACAAAGAAATCCCAAACAACGTTTATGGTGGATTTAAAGCAGACAAGTAATGTAATTGAGAAGGCGCAAATCAGATCGGGAGGAGAAGCAGAGAACTTTAGAAGTCGATAAATTGGAATTTTTAAACGAAGTCAATGACAACAAGACGGTTTATGAATGTTATTTTTTCATAAGCCCATTGAACTTTAATTATATATAAGGGGTGGTGATGATTAAAGGCTTATGTAGATTTTAAATTGTTCGAACGTATTTTTTAATTCATATTTTGTCCTCAATTTTTTTATCATTGTATATACCACTGTCAATTTATATCAATGGAATTTGTTGAAGTCATACAAGTTGGTACAAAATATGATTGATATGACATTGATATACGTTTTAGAAAAAACGTCCCTTAAAATTATGGTTGTTTTGATATTTTTCTAACTTTTTGATATTTTTTAAAAAGAACCGACCATGATCGCTATTTTTCTTATTTAAAGCTTAATATATTATATTTGATATTTGAATATTGAATGCAAGGGACATAAGTCACAACTTCCTATATTATTAAAAGTGTTCACCAAAAGCTCAAAAGGTGAAACACGTGTCGTACTATAGAGCCACGTGCTAGCGTCACTACAGCTGATCCAACGGCTATTAATTGCTCCACCATAACCGCACCTTCCATGTACGCGTTGATCCAACACCGTTAGCAATCTTTTTGATCTTCTCATCGGCGTATCAATCACTATCATCACAAATATTTCTCAAAACTTCTACTGATTTTAAATTTAATACAAAATTTGGCGACCCACTTTCTCTCTCCAAAATCAAAATTACAGAACAAGGCACGCAGTTGATGTGTGTATGTGTGTGTGTGTTTTTTTTTTTATAAAACGAATAATAAAAAGTATATGCCATTGATTCGAAATTGGTTCTTGGCAGACATTCTGTAATGCTCCTTCATAACACCCCCCAGTTTCTTGTCATCATCTTTTGACCAGCATACACATATCTTTTCTATTTCTGGATTCATTAAGGTACTGAATTTCTCTTCATTTTGTTATTAATCTGTGTTTCTTTATGCGATTGCTTTAGTGTGCTAACGATGTAATGTGTACACTTTCGCAGTTTTTTAATTCGGTTGATCCTTGTTCAGAGATTTTGGTTTAACTAAACCCTAGTTTTGTCTTTACTTCTGTTCTTAGTAGTTTGTTTTCTTCTGAATATGATGACGAAATGCATGATTTCGATGTTCTGACAGCAAGCATTTTCTCTCAACTGCTATATGCCTTTCGAAGATCAAATCCAGAAAAAAAACGACATATTAGCGTAATCGACAAGCATATGTGCTCGATTCCTTTCGTCATGTTTCTGTATTTTGGGATTTTATCCATTACGAGTATCGTTTTTTTGAAGAAAACATTACCCTAACTTGCAACTCAATAGCGACCATGCAAAAGATGCTTTCTTTAATAAACAGTACCCTGCTTCACTAATAGGAATAACGAAAACGATTGGTTAACAACTTAACATGAAAAACCCAAATTACCTTGTTAAATCGTGAGAATACCATGAATCGATCTTCATATATGTTCTCTATAAACCGATTAACTTGTACTCTTTAACATGCAGCTAATCAATCGAAGTAAATCTGATTGATTCTTCCCGATTGTGAATCGACTTTGAGATTGAAGCAAAAAGGTCAAAAATGGGCACAGATAAGCAGCCTGTTGGTATACTAGACACCATCAACATGGAAACAGTTCGGACAATTTTAACCCATAAATACCCCTACCCCCATGAGCATTCACGGCATGCCATAATCGCAGTAGTTGTGGGCTGTTTATTTTTTATTTCATCAGACAACATGCATACACTGATTCAGAAGCTAGACAAGAACATCAAATGGTGGTCAATCTACGCCTGTTTACTTGGTTTTTTCTACTTCTTTTCATCTCCATTTGTGGGGAAGACAATGAAACCAAGCTATTCAAATTTCAGTAGATGGTAATTAACTAATTATATCTGATTCAGTGATTTTACATGGATGTGTTTTAGGTAATTGAGATTTTGTGTTGTTGTGTAGGTATATAGCGTGGATATTAGTAGCAGCTTTATACCATCTTCCAAGTTTTCAGTCAATGGGAGTTGATTTGAGGATGAATCTTTCTTTATTTTTGACAATATTCATCTCCTCTGTTTTTGTTCTCCTTGTTTTTCATTTAGTATTCATTGGGCTTTGGTATATTGGTCTTGTTTCTCGTGTGGCTGGAAGAAGACCCGCTTTCTTGACTATTTTCCAAAATTGTGCTGTAAGTCTCACATACCAATGTTTTAATTTGTTTATGTATAAAGGAAGGGTATTTGTGTATGTGATATTTGGTTATATTTTTTCATGGAATTCGTATCCATGTAGGTATTAAGTTTGGCATGTTGTGTATTTTATAGCCACTGTGGCAATCATGCTTTGAATGAAAGACCATTTGGAAGAAAAGACTCTGGCTTTTTTTCACTTTGGAATAAAGGAGAAAGAAATGCATTGTTAGCAAAGTTTCTAAAAATGTATGAATTCAAAGATGAAGTATGCAAATCTTGGTTTGCTCCAGTTGGATCTGCACGTGATTATCCACTTCTCTCTAAGTGGGTTATATATGGAGAAGTAATGCTTCTGTTTTTCTATTTATATTTCCATCTTTTTTTAAATTCTTATTTCTTCTGTTTATGTTCTTATTGCCATTTGTTTTTAGTTTTCTTGTAGTGGTTCATGTGAGTCATCGGATGAAATTTCTCCAATATATTCATTATGGGCGACTTTTATTGGTCTCTATATTGCTAATTATGTTGTTGAAAGATCAACCGGGTATTTTTTTTTTTTTTTTTTTTTGTTACAAGTTTTTTTTCCTTGCCCTTTGTAATTAAAAGTGTTAATTAATGATCAGATGGGCTCTTACACACCCTCTCTCAGTTAAAGAAACTGAGAAGTTGAAGAACAAACAAATGAAGCCTAATTTCTTGGATATGGTTCCTTGGTACTCCGGGTATTATAATATTTTCCTCTCTCTTTACTTTTTCAATGGAGGGCATTTACGTCTTTTTCACATATGAGAGATAACCTGATCATGTAATGCAGGACATCAGCTGATTTATTCAAGACAGTTTTTGACCTTCTTGTATCTGTAACTGTATTTGTTGGAAGATTTGATATGCGCATGATGCAGGTTTCTTGATTCTTCTATCTTCTTCACTTTTTTAATCTTTTCACTTTTACAACTTTTTATTTTATTATTTTGTGTTTGATGTTGTAGGCAGCAATGAGTGGTGGGCATGAAGGGGCAAAACAGGAAGATTTTCTTTATGATCATTTTAGTGAAAAGGAAGACTTTTGGTTTGATTTTATGGCTGATACTGGTGATGGTGGGAACTCTTCATATTCTGTTGCTAGACTTCTTGCTCAACCTTCACTTTGTGTTTGGAATGATGGTCATTTGACCAAATTACCCCGTGGGGACCTTCTTCTTATTGGAGGTGACCTTGCGTAAGTCTCACCTTTTCTGTTTTATATAAATTATAACCTAAAATTCAAATAATTTGTAAAATCTTTTTTTTAATTTAGGTACCCTAATCCATCAGCATACACTTATGAGAAGCGGTTTTTTCGTCCTTTTGAATATGCTCTTCAGCCACCTTCATGGTATAAAGAAGAACATATAGCTGTAAATAAGCCTGAATTACCCTCTGGTGTGTCTGAACTCAAACTATATGATGGCCCACAGTGTTTTCTTATCCCTGGAAACCATGGTCAGTTTTCTTTTGAAAGTATAAGAAAAAAAATCCAAATAAGACTACAATGTTATAAATGAAACTATGTTGGTATTAATAAATCTTGTAATTTTGGTTTTTCATCAGATTGGTTTGATGGGCTTCAAACATTCATGAGATACATTTGTCACAAAAGCTGGTTAGGTGGATGGTTAATGCCCCAAAAGAAAAGCTACTTTGCATTACAACTACCAAAAGGGTGGTGGGTATTTGGTCTTGATTTAGCTCTTCATTCAGACATCGATAGTGACCAATTCAAGTTCTTCACAGAGCTAATACACAAAAAGGTACTTTCCAATTTCCAATTTCCATTACATCTTTCCTTCACATATGATTAATAATTATAATTGTTTATATATATATATATATATATATATATATATATATATATATATATATATATATATATATATATATATATAACAGGTTAAGGAAAATGATTCGGTGATCATTATGACACACGAACCAAATTGGCTTCTCGATTGGTATTGGGATGACGTGACTGGAAAAAACGTGTCACATCTTACACGTGATTATTTGAAAGGGAGATGTAAACTTAGAATGGCTGGAGATTTGCATCATTACATGAGACATTCTTATGTCGCATCTGAACATGAAAACCCTAATTCTGTGAATGTCCAACATTTGATTGTGAATGGGTGTGGTGGCGCGTTTTTGCATCCTACACATGTGTTTAGTGATTTTAAACAGATATATGGAACGACATATGAAAATAAAGCCTCGTATCCATCCATTCAGGATTCCAGCCGTGTATGTAATAATTCTTGGAATCCAATTCGTATGACAGATTCCAATTGAATTTTTTTTTTTTTGATGAAAAATTGTGGTATGCAGATTGCACTTGGGAATATATTGAAGTTCCGAAAGAAGAACTGGCAGTTTGACTTCATTGGTGGATTCATATACTTCATCTTGACCTTTTCAATGTTTCCACTTGTACGTATTTTTATTTCCACTATTTTTTTTTCTTTTATAAAACATTCTGATTTTTTTTTTGTGTGTGTGACAGTGTAAGCTAGATCATATCCTACAGGCTGACACGTTTTCTGGGCATGTAAAGAGTTTTTTTAGCACAGTTTGGGATATTTTTATGTACATGGTTGGAGAATCATATGTATCTTCTATGGGTTCGATCTTATTATTAGTAGCTGCAATCTCATTTGTCCCTTCAAAAGTGTCACGCAAAAAGAAAATTGTAATTGGAGTTCTTCATGTTTCTGCACATCTGGCTGCAGCTTTGGTTCTAATGTTGTTAATGGAGCTTGGTGTTGAAACTTGCATCAGACATAATCTCTTGGCAACTTCAGGCAAGATTATAATTATTATTAGTTATTTGGAATTGTACATATAATTAATTTTGAATGAATATTAATTATTTCAGGTTATCACTCGTTATATGAGTGGTACAGATCAGTGGAGAGTGAACATTTCCCGGATCCAACGGGTCTTAGGGCACGTATAGAGCAATGGACCTTTGGGCTTTATCCAGCGTGTATTAAATATCTTATGTCAGCTTTTGATGTTCCTGAGGTTTGACTCTGACATCACACCTTTAATTTCTTAATGAGATAAAAAAGGTGATGCTAAATTATTATTATTATTTTTTTTTGGGGGGGGGGGGGGGGGGGGGGGGATTATTAGGTGATGGCTGTAACGAGGACTAACATATGCAAAAACGGAATGGATTCTCTGTCTAGAGAGGGTGCGATTATATACTACGCATCTGTTTTCCTTTACTTTTGGGTGTTTTCGACTCCTGTGGTTTCTCTTGTGTTTGGAAGCTATTTGTATACTTGTATCAATTGGCTTCACTTGCATTTTGATGAGGCCTTTTCCTCTCTACGCATTGCTAATTACAAGTCTTTCACTCGCTTTCACATCAAGGATAATGGAAATCTTGAAGTTTTCACTCTCGCAGTTGATAAAGTAAGAAGATTTTTATCTATTTTTTTCTTATGTATCTTTGTATAATATTTATGAGATTTTTTATTTTATTTTATTTTTTTATTTTTATGTTATGTAGGTTCCCAAGGAGTGGAAGGTGGATTCGGAGTGGGATAACGAGTTAAAACAAATTCAGCAGCTGAATCACTACAGAAAGTATCCAAGTAAATGGAGGGCGAATGCTTATAATCAGGATCCAGTTAATACTGTTCGAATTGTTGATCGTTTTGTTATTCAAACATGTAAAGAAGAATTAGGAGTAGCAAATGGAAATGGAAATGGATCTGTTTCTCATTGATGAAGTTTATCTGTAAGCTTAGAAAGTTAGAAATAGAATATGATCATTAGAAGGTGTAGAGAAGAAAACTTAATTAGAATGTAAAGTGTAGTTATGGTTGTTCAATTTTATTTCTTCAATGGAATTGCTACCATAATATGAAATCATATAAATATATTAAAAAAAACATCTTTAATATCATAATATCAATCTTATCTACCCTTTTAATAAATAAATATATTATATGTACAATCCCCAGCAAACAGACCTTTCCTTTTTAAAAATACAGAAAGGGGCAACACAGGGGTAGAATAGGTTAACTAAGTAGTAAGTACCCCAGAAATTAGAAAGGGTAAAAATGTCATTTCTGTGGTCCATACCTACACATATTCTATTCTTAAAGGATTGATAGATACACACTGTACATAGGGTATTTACATAGGGTACATCTACGATGTCTTTTCATGGATACGAGCTCTAAGTTTGTTCAAAAGACGTAGAGTTTCACAGTATGAAGGATCACTTTTGCTTATTGGTTTGCATGAATTTACATGATCAGTTGATTCTAACACCTGTCACAAAAAAAAAAAAAAAAAAAAAGGAAAAAATATATCCACATTTAAAATATAACAACACAGTTTTGTACTTTTTTTTTGGCCTTTTCTGAAGTGAAAACTTACCACAAGTTTCCCGTATCCAGGAAACGATGATTCAATTGGAACTATTTCCAATCTGAAAGCCCAACCTCCATAACCTTCAACGATTGGAGTTACTTTAGTCTGAAAAAAGTTCATTATCCAAATTAACACAAGGGTAAATTGGGTAATTAACGCTCTAAAAAGCAATAGAACTTATAGTCTCACCTCGCAAAAACTGAGAACATCAAGAGCACCTTGCTTATGTAGACGACGAATAAAATCATTAAGCTCGATTAATCTCGGAGACCCACTTCTCAATTCTCCTATCTAAAAAAAAAAAAACTTCTCAAATAAGTAATTTCCTGAAAAGGGTAGTTTCGACCTATGATAATAATAATAGCAAAAAAGGACTAACCGTTGGTGCAGGACGTAAAACAAAACCCATTCTCCAAGGTAGATCTGCAAGCTTGCTACCAAAGTGAGGGCAGCTATAAAACACCTAAACCAGGGGCAAAAATGTCAATCAGAGGCGTAACCCACGAGATGACATGACATGACAGAATTGATGTTAGAGACAAAAATTGCAACTTTTTGTCCCATCCAACCCAAAAAAGATAGGACATGGGCTAGCTTTGATCTCTTGTTTGTGAAAAAGACTTAAATGCCCTTCTCATGATCATCAAAAATAGCTCTAGAAAGCTTCTTGAATTGAACATACCACACCGATAGTGTTAGTGACAAGGCTATCTCTGTTTTCCTTCCTAGCCTGATCCAACATCTGCTTCACAACCAATCCCCCCATGCTGCAAAAAATTTACACAATATCAAAATAACTAATTTAACTTTTTCTTTTAAAAAAAAAATATTATTATTCTTAGAAGAAAATATGATGAAAAAAAGACACCTGTGAGTTACAAATACAACGGGTCGATCTCCAATGCCTGCAGTAATTAATTTTTCCAACAACATCGCGCTCACTTCCTGAAGTGGCAAACTCGATCCCGACCATTGCGTAAGATTCGTCTGCAATAGCAATGCAATCATCCAAAAGGGTAAAATTGTAATTTTGTCAAAACAAAAAGTACTACCATTTTCAGTTTCAAAAATCAAAACAATCACAAACCTTATACTTTAAACTAAACAAACGCGCATGAGGAAAATCAGCTGAAAGCCATTCAGCAGGCCAAAAAGTCCCATGCTTTCCAGCCTCTTCATCAATCTTTTCCACAAGTCCAGATTTAGATGATAATTTACTCTCGGATAACCTCCATGACTTAAAGGGCCCACCACGTAACCCATGAACAAAAACAACATCAAGTGAAGGCTGTGTGGGACCCACTGACTCACTATCAGTATCAGTATTATCAAGATTCCTTGTTAATTGGCTAATACTAGTACTACTACTACTATTACTCTCACAATCATAATCACCCTCATGGAGTTCTAAAAATGGATTGATTGGATTCTTATTCTTGTTCTTAGTCTTATTCTTATTCTTATCCACCATTGGTGTCTCCATGGTGGATTCCTGTTTTTGTTTTACAGGGTGTTTGTATTTCCAGTGAGGTAAATTAGGGTTGATTAAATAAATCATCTCAGTAAAATGAGGACACCTACCACTTCCATTTCCACTACTATTTACAGTATCTTCATCATTACAAAGTATATTCAACAATGTCGCTCTTGAATAGCTTTGAGTTTTCAGATCTTTACATCCGGGAATTTTCCCATTTGCACATTCTTCAAGCCAATCACACCAAACTTTATCGTTTAATATCATTTTTTTAACTTTTTGATGAACAGAAAGAACAGCTAGAAACCTAGCTGCATGTCTACGGATATGTGCAGCAAGTGGGACCCGCGTACGAGGTGATGAATCATTAGAATCAGAACCACTTTGTTGTTGATCTTTGGATTCTGTATTTAATGAACTTTTATATGCTTCGATTCCTGCTAATTTCTCATAATCATCTCTTAATAAAAGGCGACGAAGTAAAGAGATTACACCATGATCGATTATTCTAGCTTGACAAAATGAATCATCGCTACAAATTTCTGACATGGTTTTGATTCCTTTAAGTGTTGCTAGTGTAGAATCTGCAGCATTGACTTTAGGTATACTGTCTTTTTTTATATTTTTGAATGGTTTAACAAAGGGCTCAAGGGAAAGAAGATCTTCAAGAGCAGATGAATCCTTTTTACCATTTCGTAATTGATTCACTGCTAAATTAACCACAGCAGTAGCTAACTTGTCTGCAGCCTGTGTGCCAGATACAACGTTTGCTTGATCGATTTGAGTCTACAAGAATGAATCATAAATATAAATTCTTCAGATACAATAAGTAAATAATGATAAGAAAAAGACTAAACTAACCTTCACTTTATCTTTAGGCTGATTGCTTCCTTTTAGTGATGACTTTCTATGGTTTAGAACATCAGTTAGCAATATGGCTAACCAACCTTGTGAAATGGGGATGGAAGATGGTGAATGGTCTTCAAGAACATGAGAGAGAATTTTAATGCCAGAAGATCTTGTGGCATCAGAAGAAGAATCACCAAATACCCATCGAAGTAAAATGCTTGACCATTTTTGACCTTCATCTAAAGGCAAATGAATGTTCCCTGAACAAAGTGATTCAAGACCTTTTGCTAATGCTTCTTGTACAGATTCATGTTTCTTCATTCGTTTAGCAGTTTCCCTCATTAGATCAAGACTTTTATCCATAACTTTCTGTTGAGCACCAGGGCATCTTTCGAGTGATAATAAGAATGCAGATAAAGCCACACGAGTCAAAGGGACATCATCACTTTTGCTAGCTTGGGAAACAGTAGAAAGAAGACTGGAACTCCAATCAGAAACAAAATCATCAGAAGGGAGATTTTTGTCTTCTAGAAGAAACCTAGCTACTAAACTTCCATGCCATTTCACAGATCTTTCTGGAGCAACTAAAGCAGTCATGATAGCATGTCCATCATGGTCTAATTCTTGGATATGGGATCTATTTACAGGTGATGCCATTGCCCAATTTGCTAAAGCCCATGCAGCAAAAGGAACAGCAACATGTTGTGATTGCAAATCATCCCACAAACCAGGGATAACAGTTTGTTGAGATGGATAATTATCACTCACTTTGTTAAAAAATATTCTTCTGGTTTTAGGAGGAGATTTCCCATATCCTGTAATGCCCTTTAATCCTGGGGATTCATCTAAGTAGATGCCACCTTCTTCAACAACCTGAAGTGCTGTTGCAATGTCTCTCATTGTAGCTTTTGCTGATAACATAGGCTTACGATGGACCTTTTCCACCTTGTCACAACTGGAAGTCACAATATCCATGATTGCTGTAACAAGCATGCTCCTGCCTTTCAAAGGATCAGCAATATCGAAGGAATTATGTCTTGATTGCTGCTTACATGGAGAAGCAGCATGTCAAAATTGTTTGAATGTTTTGGAAATTGGAACAAGTTGCAGTCAAAAGTTTTACTTTCAGACAAATATACCTGTTCCCAAGGATGAGGATGAGCAGAGAGGATGAACCTGGTAAGATTAGGGATTGCACGAGGCCTTCGGAGAACCTTCTCAGAGACATTAGAGTCAGCAATCAAGTAAGCCAAAGCCCTAGCCGATTCCGCCTGAGTTCCATAATTCCCCCCTCCTTTCAACGCCACCGCCTCCAACAACCAATCAACCACCAGGCCACCACCAGCACCGACGATCGCAGCTCTCCGGCTCTCGTCTCCAGCCACAATGTCCGCTAACAACGCCGCAACCCTAACCTCAAACCCTGACCGAACCTCATCGTTCGCCGAAGACAAAATAGAACTCAACGACTTCCAGAGAACCGATACAGCAACGCCTGTATGCTTCACCGTGTCCAACATTCTCCTAAACGACTCGTTCGAACGTTCAATTGTAAAATCTCTAAAAACGCGCTTCTTCTTCTGCTTCTTCGCTTTCATTTTCTCAAATTCATCGTCGTCAAAGAAACTCATGCAAGAGGCGGCAGCAGCTGCGGATATCAAGCTCGCGGCGATTGCAAAGCGGGGGAGGGAATAATGCCGGAGACGGTGGAGGACGGGAAGCGATGATAGCGGACCTGCATTTTGCAACTTCTTGAGGTTTTTGTTGGAACCGGTGGAATTCTCGTGGTGATTGGCGGAAGGGGAGGAGGAGAAGAGGCGTCTGAGAGAGAAATTTGATACATGACGGCGGCGGTGGTTGTTGACGTTGGTTCTAATTATAAATATACGATAGAACATCATAATACGTATGCATGAGGCAAAACGGATGAAGAAATCTCCATCGAATTTTTGTCCAAAAAAATGTTTTAAATCCGCGAGACCGAAAATTGGGGGGAAGATACGGCATAAAACGGTGGTATCTTGATTTTATGCCTCATTAGTTTAAAGTTTTTTATTTTTATTTTTATTTTATTTTTATTTTTTTTAAATTAAATAATTTGAATCTTACTGGTCAACCGCATTAACTGACATCATCACATGACCAAGGTTGTAATGTGACGATTTATCATTAGCAAATAAATACGGTCTTTTTTTTTTTCTTGGAAACTACGGAAAAAAAATATAAATAAAAAGGCAACAACCTTGAAAGGTAAAAGACCGACAAACAAAAACAAATAAAACACAACACTTACAGGTGCACAAACCGTTTATTTATTTATTATTTTTTTTATTTTTTTTTTCAAATCGAACCGGTTCGGTTCCAATTCAAGAATAGTAAAATCGGTTTAGCCATAAACCGGTTCCATCATAAAAAAAACTCGAACCTATCTAAACCGGTTACATCGGTTCTAAACTGGTTCGATCGGTTCGACTACCGATTCACCGTTACTAAACCGATTTCAATGTCTAAAATCTCGAATGGGTGGAAACGCAATCCATAAGAAGATGATCAGTAGACTCCGGATCCTTAGAGCACATTTGACACTCGATAGTGACTCTAATTCCCCTCCGAGAGAGAGAGAGAGAGAGAGAGAGAGAGAGAGAGAGAGAGAGAGAGACAATGAGGAGGGGATACGGTCCATACTGGCACACCACACAAAACAAGTCACGTTGAGAGGGACAATGTGTAACCACACCATCAGATTATTACAACATATAGTAATCTTGGAGTCAATAATCATCCGAATATCACGGACATAAAATTTTCCATCCTTGGAGAGTTTAGAAACCCACGTATCCAGAATTAACGAAGGTATAAATTCATTAAAAAGCTCGCAAAGAGTGTTCAGCTCCAACATTTCTTCGGGACTACGTGGCTTCCTTTTTCAATTCCAAGAAGCCCCATGAAAAAACAACATGTCAGAGATAAAACATAATTTCTTTTTGTCCAAAGCAAAAAGATTGGGAAATTGAGTTGCGAGGATACCATCCCCAATCCAATTATCAAACCAGAAGAGGGTCCCATTACCAGAGCCAATTTTATAAGAGAAAAAAGAAGAGAGATCAATTCCCAGTTCATGAAGAGTATCTAATATTGACACCAAATATGTCACAACTAGAAAATTTTCTGATCTAAAAACCAAGTCAAAATGGGTCTTGTATATGTAAAGGTTATAAGCATACTACTATTATGTTATGGTAATGTAATTTTTGAAAATTATGCTACCCTAAACTCTCATGAGCTATGCAATTAAATGTGATATGGGATTTACATCAACATATTTAGCACACAAACAATAAAACAAACATATTAGAGTTTCCTATACACTAAGACCATAAACACTTCCCTAGGAAACTTCCATGGCCGTGAACACCTTTAGAGAATCAAGCTTTGGCCGTAAACCCTTCTTCTTGGACAATGGTTGGCCGTAAACAACCCTTAGTGGACCACTTTGGCTGTGAACCACCCAAATCCACCTAGTCTTGATCGTGAACACCATCTGAGGGAGGAAACATGACCATGAACACCATCCTAGGCAACCATTTGGCCGTAAACTCCATGGTGGACCTCATTTAGACCGTAAACCGCCTTTGGTGGACCTCCATTTGATCGTAAACCTTAGTTTAAGGTCCATTTAGACCGTGAACCCCTTCCAATTTAATTGTGTTTACGGATTGTAAGCCGTAATTGGCTATTTTCCAATACATATCTCAGTAATCTATGCATTACCCACCAGTTATCCAAGTAAACATCCCATCCAATTCTTATCCCCATACAAGGAGCGTAAACCCCATTTTGTTTCATTCCACAAACTCAGTTCACATTCTGTAAACCTCCGTAAACTCTCTCAAGCATTCAACCAAGTTCCAGAAGCTATTTCCTCACAATCTCTTCTAAGTTTCTGTAAGTTAATTCATGCCTAGTAAATGTTTCATACATTTAGTTATTGAAATTCTTCTACTCACACATAAATTTATGTGTTAATAACCTTAGGCTAGCAAAAATCCTCAAGAAGTTCATCCAACACTCCAAGTGTTCTAGGCCCCAATATTCACCTCATCTATTCATCCACACCTTTTCTCTACTCAAGGTGAGCTTCATACCCCTATTTTTGAGTTTTCATTATTTTGGGGGAGGATACAAGTCAAAAAGTCTTGTGAAATCTTGGTATAATTACTTGTCTATACATGTATGTTATGTTGTATGTGTTTGAAGTTATAAAACTCCATATGATTAGTCCAAAAACTCGGTGAAGTCTCAAGAGTTTGGACTATATTTCACATATTGTGTTGTTAGAAACAAAAAACTATCATTTTTATGAAATGTGATTAATAAAATCTCATGTCTAGAACCACAAGAATTTGCTTCAAGAAATTGTTTAAACAAAGTTGTTGGACATAAAATTGTGGAAGATGTAAAAATCATGAAAAGTTATATTATTTTGGGCCATGTTCGGCCATAAATATATATATGAGGTCATTTTTGAAATGTTGACTAAATTTGAGATTTCGATTTCAAATTGGGCCAAAAATGGAAATAACTAATAAATAAGGGTCATTTTGGACACTTTCTTAAATACGAGCCTAAAATGAATATTTTAGAAGAAATGGGTCATTTTCAACAATTCTCGTATTTTTGGATCACTCATGACACTTTTTGACAAATGTGGGTCTTATTTGATAATTTATAAAAAGAATGACCATTTTTGCCAACATCGACAATATTGAGTCATTTTTGATAAATATGATTCAAAGTGGATTATTTTCAGTAAACGAAACGAAACACCTAGTCAACGAGTACAACTAATGTTACGAAACAAAAACGAAATATCTAGTCAACGAGTGCAACTATTATTATTTATTAAATAAATAATGGAATTCAACTATATGCGTAAATATCGGTTAGTATTCTAGTCAGACGCATCTTCACCGTACACATATAATAGTGCACGTTTAATGTCCTGTAAGAGTTATAACCAGAGTCTCCTGGAGGGAGAGCGAAAATTTGTGTATAGATTTATAAGGGGTTGACACCCCGCACCTTCGTTGTTCGCTACAGCTAGACCGGCCAATCTAGGATGACAAATGTCTTCAACGAAACCGACGCCTGAAGAACGTCTAGACAGGCACTTCGTCATATTAGTATGGTTATAACGACTCACTTAGAATATAACAAAATATATTTACGTTGATTACACCTTTTGTTTATAATCAACTATGGTTTGGTTACCTCAAACAAAATTTTACCACACAAGTCTTAGGGTTTTAAGGCTACAAATTTGTATATAAGAAAATATAGGATTTTCTGGGGGAAAAACGATTTTTATACAATTTTCGAAAGATGATAAACTAAAGTACACATGCAACTATACTTGATTGGAAACAAGACTTACAACTATTTTAATAGAAAATATTTGATTTTCTGGGTTTCTAAACTATCACAACTTTTATGTAAAAATGATTATGAACTCTCCAACATATTTTATGTTGACGCTTTTCAAACGAATTGTATTCTCAGGGAATCAGTAAGCAAGTTTATGGATCGCGGATTCTGGATTATTTTGTTGTAGTTTGGAAGTTACTTACTAATGTCTCTTTTGTGTAATTTGAGAACAAATACATGATGTAAAAACAATGTAAGTTTGATATCTTAATGTATGATGTTTGGATTTGCTATGTTTCATTTATATTCAATTGTTATGGTACTGCACAATGACGTCACCCGCCTCCGGACGTTTCCGCCGTTCTGGTTCGGGGGTGTGACAAAATACCGGGAATGGATCTCTTGGAAAGATTATTCATGGGTTTGCATGCAAGATTATAGATTTCACTAATAACCCGATGCCACAACGCGTTGGTCTCTGCCTTTAATCTCCATATCCATTCACAGAGAGGATATATGTTAAGACTTTTAAGAGATCCAACACCAAGACCGCCAGAATCTTTAGTAGCAAGAACCTGATTCCATGTCACCCAGCATAGTTTTTCCTTTTCATCATTACCACCCCAAAGAAAACTTCTGTGAAGCTTCTCCAAGGCTTCGAGAATGGAAGTCGGGGCCTTAAAGATAGAAAAGTAAAATAAGGGTAGGCTGCCAATAAGTGATTGAGCAAGAGTCAATCTTCCACCAAAAGATAAAGTTTTCGACTTCCATGAAGAGAGTTTACTTTGGACTTTCTCAATAATTGGCATCCAATTTCTTTTGAGTTTCATGTTTGCTCCAACCGGCACCCCGAGATAAGTCAAAGGAAGGAATGTCGCTTCACAACCCATAATGTTAGCACAATTCGCTATATCCGAGTTGGAAACCCCAATTCCATAGACCTTGGACTTATCGATGTTAAATTTTAAGCCTGAGACATTATGGAAGCATTTGAGAATTCAAGAAAGATTCATGAAGTTAGCATGTGTCCAGTTGCTAACAAAAAGAGCATCGTCTACATAAAAAAATGTGAGATATAGATGAACCATAATCAGGTATGTCAACTCCAGATAAGAGAGAGCCCTAAGTAGCCGATCGCATAGCCGCATTCAATCCCTCCATGGCTATAATAAAGAGAAACGGAGAGAGGGGATCTCCTTGACAAACGCCCTTGGTGATAGGAAATTCTTTTGTTGGAACACCATTAATAAGAATCGAGGCTCTTGAAGCTGCCAAACTACCCCTGACCCAAAATCTCCACCTGTTTCCGAACCCCATTTGGGACATTACCGAATCCAAAAAATTCCAATTAATGGAATCAAAGGCCTTGTCAAAATCAACTTTGAGAAGGAAGGTACATCGTTTGGTCCACTTGGCCCACCCACAAATTTCATTAATAATCATAGGACCATCGGGAATGTTCCGACCTTCAATGAAACCGGTTTGGACTTCATCTATTATAGAACCAAT